CCCCAAATCCCCCCAAACCCCCCCATCTCAGTCCCCTGAGACCACCGGGACACCCCCTGGGAGCGGCACTGAGGGGGCTGCGGGGATAGGGAAGGGGAGGGGGTGGAGCCAGCCCGGAGGGAGGGCTGGCCCCAAAAATCAAGGCCCAGGGAATGGGAACGGCCGGGCTGGGGCTTCCCGGCACTTCCCGCGGCGCTCCCACCTTTCTCCTCCAGCTGGATGATGGCGGTGCCCGGCCCGAAGCTGTTCCAGGCCGTGCAGTTGTAGCGGGTCTGGAAGTCGGCGTCCATGACGTTGTTGATGGTGAGGGTGGACAGGACCCCGCTGCCCGTGTTCGTCCTCTCCACCGTGTACCTCTCCAGCGTGCCCGCCTCCAGGATGTTCTCCTTCCACGCCCACGCCTTGGGGAGGGGGTGGCAGAGCGGGGATGGGTGGGTGAGCCCCTGGAGGGCTCAGCACCACCCCCGGGACCCCCCCTCGCCCCCGGGGTGCTGGCGGCACTCACGATGCGGTCTGGGGGCGGGGTGCTGCCGATGAAACACTCCACCTTGCCGCGGTCGCCGCGCACGGCGTACTGCACCGCCTCGCTCGAGATGATGGGGGGCCCTGCGGGGGGGGATAAATGTGGTGAGCAGCCCCAGTCGGGGCCTGTCCTGCCCGGGAAGGTGCTCAGGGAGCGACCTCAGCTCAGGAACCTTCGGGGTGTTTTGCTCTGTCCGGCCGAGAAGGGCGACAACCAAGCGGCTTTGGGGGGTTCCTGCTCCACCCACCACAGGGAGCTCGACCCAACAGCCCCCAGGAGGTGTGTGGGGGGCACAAGGGGGGGTCCCTGGTCCCATGGGGGTCACTCACCGTTGACAAAGAGCGTGACCTCCCTCTCTCCCACCCCGATGCGGGGCACGATGGCTTTGCAGACGTACTGCCCCGCGTCCGCCTGCGTCACCGACTTGAGGTACAGCTGGTTGCTGTTGCTCAGGACCTGGGTGCCAGTGGTAGGGGGGGCATCAGGGAGGGGTCCCGGGGCTCCCCGGGCCACCCCCAGCAGCTCAGCTCGTGGGGCCCTACCATGTTGGACTCCTTCTTGGTCCAGGTGAGGGTCAGCGGGGGGTTGCCCGACCACACGCACGTCAGCGTCACGTCGGAGCCGATGTCGGTCACCGTGGGCTTGGGGTCCACCACGATGCGAGGGGCGACTGGGGGAGAAGGAAGTGAGGGGCAGGGCCGAGGGGGGGGGTTTGGGAGCGGGGAGGGGGCTGCCCCCACTCACAGTGCACGTCCACCAGCGTGCTGACGTTGGTGCTGCCGATGTCGTTGTGCACCTCGCAGGACACGGGCTCCGTGAAGAAGGTGTAGTCCACCTGAGTGTCGTACCTGTTCTCCTTGGCGTCCTCGATGATCACCCCCCCCTTGGCCCACCTGGGTGGGGGCACAGAGCCGAGGATGGGCACGATCAGAGGCCCCGTTTGACCCCTTCCCACCTCCCTGCAGAGCCAGGACCCACCAGGTCCCACAAGGACCTTCAGGGGCCCTGTTTGACCCCTTCCCACCTCCC